TACCAGCATATCATCTGCAAAGAGTGACAGCTTTGTTTCCTTATTACCTATTCTAATTTCTTCAATTTCTTTTTTCTCTCTTATTGCTAAAGCTAACATTTCTAGTATTGTATCTAGTATCTAGTATCTAGATTGAATAACAGTGGTGATAATGGACATCCTTATTTCACCCCTGATGTTATTGGGGAAACTTCTAGCTTATCCTTATTACTTATGATGCTTGCTGATTTTAAATAGATGCTACTTATCATTTTAGGGAAAACTCCATTTATTCCTGTGTTCTCTAGTGTTTTTAACAGGAATGGCTGCTGTATTTTGTCAAAAGCTTTTTCTGCATCTATTGAGATAATCATATTCTGTTAGTTTTGTTATTGATACAGTCAATTATGCTTACACTTTTCCTAAAATTGAACCAGCCCTGCATTCCTGTTATAAATCCCATCTGGTTGTACTGTATTATCATGGTGACAAATTGCTGTAATCTTTTCTGCTAATATTTTATTTAAAATTTTTGCATTAATATTCATTAGGGAAATTGGTCTATAATTTTCTTTTTCTGTTTTGGCTCTTCCTGGTTTAGGTATCAGCACTGTATTTCTATCATTAAAAACAATTTGGTAGGACTCCTTCTTAGCCTTTTTTTCTAGATAGTTTATATAGTATTACAATTAATTGTTCTTTTAAATGTTTGGTAGAATTCACTTTTAAATCCATTAGGCCCTGGGGATTTTTTCTTAGAGAGTTCATTGATGGCCTGCTCAATTTCTTTTTCTGAAATGGAGTTATTTAAGTATTTTATTTCCTCTTCTGTTAATCTGGGCAATTTATATTTTTTTAAATATTCATCCATTTCACTTAGATTGCCAGATTTATTGGCATACAGTTGGGCAAAATAACTCCTAATTATTTTAACTTCCCCTTCATTGGTGGTGAATTTTACTCTTTTCATTTTTGATACTGGTAATTTGGTTTTCTTTTTTCAAATCAAATTAACCAAAGGTTTATCTATTTTATTGTTTGTTTTTCATAAAACTATCTTTTGGTTTTATTTATTAGTTCAATAGTTTTCTTAATTTCAATTTTATTAATCTCTCCTTTGATTTTTTTAGAATTTCTAATTTGGTATTTAACTGGGGATTTTTAATTTGTTCTTTTTCTAGCTTGCCCAATTCATTGATCTCCTCTTTCTCTATTTTATTCATGTAAGCATTTAGAGACATAAAATTTCCCATAAGAACTGCTTTGGCTGCATTCCATAAGTTTTGGTATGTTGTCTCATTATTGTCATTCTCTTTGATGAAATTATTGATTGTTTCCGAGTTGTTGTTTGACCCATTCATTTTTGAGGATTAGGTTATTTAGCTTCCAATAAATGTTTAGTCTTTCTTTCCATGGCCTTTTATTACATGTAGTTTGGACACATGTACATGTGTCATGATCTGAAGAGGATGCATTTAATATTTCTGCCTTTCTGCATTTGATTGTGAGGTTTTTATGCCCTAGTTCACTCTCTGTTTAGGTACCATGTACTACTGAGAAAAAAGTATATTCTTTTCTATCCCCATTCAGTTTTCTCCAGAGGTCTATCTTTTCTAAAATTCTATTCACCTCTTTAACTTCTTTCTTGTTTATGATTTATCTATTTTTGAGAGGGAAGTTGAGGTTCCCCACTAGTATAGTTTTACAGTTTCTCTCTGTAACTCACTTAACTTCTCCTAAGAATCTGGATGCTGTACTACTTGGTGCATAAGTTTAGTATTGATATTATTTCATTGTCTGTGTTACCTTTTAGCAAGATGTGGTTTCCTTCCTTATCTCATTTAATTAGATCTATTTTTGCTTTTGCTTTGTCTGAGATCAGAATTGCTACCCCTGCTTTTTTTTACTTAAGCTGAAGCATAAAATATTCTGCTCCAGCCTTTTATCTTTACTCTGTGTGTATCTGTCTGCTTTAAATGTATTTCTTATAAACAATGTATTGTAGGATTATGGTTTTTAATCTGCTATGCTATCCACTTCCGTTTCATGGAAGAGTTCATCCCATTCACATAACTGTGTACAGTTATCTTTATCTCCATCCTATTTTCCCCTCTATTTATACTTTTCTCTCTCCTTTCACTCTTTCCATCCTCACCTGTGTTTTGCTTCTGACCACTGACTCCTTCAATCTGCCCTCCTTGCTATCAGCCCTCCTCCCTTTTCTTTTCCCTTTTCCCTACTACTTCTGCCATCCCTTCTGTCTACCCCCTCCCTTTTCTTTCCCCTTTCTTCTCCTACTTCCCTATAGGGTAAGATAGATTTCTATACCCAAATGTTATTTCCTCTTTGAGCAAAATCCCATGAGAGTAAGGTTCAGACAATGCCCAATCCCTCCCTTCTTTCCGTCTACTGTAAATAGTTCTTTTGCACCTCTTCATGTGATGTAATTCACCCTATTCTGCCTATCCCTTTCCTCTTCTTCCAGTACAGTCTTTTTTTTTAACCCCTTAATTTTTTTTATATCATCACATCAAAGTTTCCTTATACCTACACCCTCTGTATATGTATACCCATTCTAACTGCCCTGTGTAGAAATGTAAACAGTTTAACCTTATTGAATGACATGGGTTTTTTTTCCTTTCCTGCTTACCTTTTTATGCTACTCTTGATTCTTGTATTTGAAGATTGAGTTTTCTGTTCAGCTCTGGTCTTTTCATCAGGAATGATTGAAAGTTCCCTATTTCGTTGAATGTCCATCTTTTCCCCTAAAAGATTATGCTTAATATTGCTGGGTAGTTGATTGTTGATTGTAATCCAAGTTTGTTTGTCTTCTGGAATATCATATTCCAAGCCCTCTGATCCTTTAATGTAGAAGCTACTAAGTCCTGTGTAATCTTGATTGTGGCTCTACAATTTAAATTGTTTCTTTCTAGCTGCTTGCAGTATTTTCTCCTTGACCTGATAATTCTGGAATTTGGTCACAATATTCCTGGGAGTTTTCATTTTGGGATCTCTTTTAGGAGGTGATCAGTGAATTCTTTCAATGACCATTTTACCCTCTGGTTCTAGGATATTGGGGCAGTTTTCCTTGATAATTTCTTGAAAGATGAAAGATGTTGTCCAGGCTCTTTTTTTGATCATGGTTTTCAGGTAGTCCAATAATATTTAAATTAAGTAAGTTAGCCCTCAAGGCAAATGCTTTTCAGTGTTGGGCTGGATGGAGCCCACCCTAAATTTTGTTTTGCTTATATTCAGAATCCAGTCTGGGTGAGACCTTTCCCTGGGGAAAGGAGCCCCTGTCCTTGTACTGCAATGATGAGGATGGGATATGGACCCCAGAAAGGAAAAACCCTGGACTTTCCCACATGGCCAAATCTGTGGTGTTCCCCTGAGGCTATAATCCCATCAACTGGCCTTTCATTGTGGCTACACCCAAGCTCCCAATTCTGTTACCCTTAACCTAGCCTAGCCCTCCATTATCTTACCTCCCTTTGGCCCTGGCCAATTACCACCCTTAATCCTATCTAGGCTCCATTCTCCCTTGGCAAGTGGTCCAGGTCCCTGGAGTTCTGTTATCTCATAGACTACTTGGCCACTCTCATCCAGATCCTCCTTAGACCCCTCCTCCAGTCACCCCAAACTACTTGGCCACTCCTAGATCCCTCCCACAGTCTTTCTGTATATAAGGTCCATCTTGTCTCCATTAAGATGCTCAGATTCTTACAATCAAGCTCAGTCTGCCCAGTGTGACAGATGTTCTAATAAACTTTGTCTTTGACTGAAAGAAGGCTTGGGTCAAATTCTTTTGGGCAGGACCCGCATGTTGTGATTTGGGGGTTCCAGAACCCCTAAACCTCAACACCTCTAACACCTCTATTAGAGTTTAGGGTGACCCACCTCATGAAGGAGAAAAATCAGCCAGAAAGGTCTGGATGGAGATGGATTCCCCTGTCCAGATAGCTGGAGGCAGCAGAGTCTTGTGATGAACCTTGTGATCTCAGCAGGAGGAGCTGAAGACTTCTAGCCCATTTCCTCATTAAATGTCTGCTAATCAGGGTTGATTTTCACTTGTCCAGGGCATTCCCTTTTAGAAGGATATTTAAGGCTCTCAGGGTCTCCATTGGGAGTCTTTGGTTACTGAGGGAAACCACTAATCATCAATTTATTGATTGCCAGCCATCCTAATTAATAAATTGATTATTAATTATCCAGAAACTATGCCTCTGAGAGTTTTTCTTTTCATACTCTGGTGTGGTAGTGCTCCTCTTGGCCTTGAGACTGTAACATTTGTCCTTTACGTGTTGCTTTGCTCCCTTCCCTGTTCTTCCTCTTTACCCTACTTGAGACTTGATCTATTCTTGTGGCTTTATTTCTCACTTCTTATGGTCCTTTCGTCTCAGAATTAGTTTTGCATTTTTCTTCTAGTTGCTTGCTAGATATTTCCATTTGATGTCCTATGAAAACCACAGTTTAAATATGCCCCAAACAGAGCCTTTTTCCTTGCAGATCAGAGTTCTCTTTAACTTCTTCATCTCTAGTCACTGTGGTTCAAGATTGTGGAATGCTTTTTCTCTGGGTCTTAAAACTAGAGAGTTTGAAGGAACATCAGTGGTCATCTGATTCGCCTCTCCGTTGATTTTGCTCTCTCCACATCTCTGTTATCTCCCAGTAACATGTTGTCAAGTGCTATTTTATTCTTCAGAATATCTCTGTTCTGGCTTCTTCCCCTACTACTCTTACTATGACACACTTGAACCTAACAATTTCCTTACTATTTTTTTGTTGACCTTCTAATCCAGTAAAAAAAAAAAATTATGTGTAGTCATTGTAAGAACAATTAAAATGGAAGTTTATTGTATCTTTTCTAATCACTTTCCCCTTTTTTCTTGTTTGTGTATTGGAAGTGTATACTTCAGTTATGTTGAGTATAATGTTAAACTATATTTGGCTAAGAAATAAGGTGTTTTGATCAAGGGCATTTTTTCCATCTATTAAATTTTTATTTTTGTTTTTTGACCTAGACCTACTCTGGACTATTCTGTGTAGTCATAAATCCTTACAAGAATCTTCCAATTTACTCTGAAAATATTATTGAAATGTACAGAGGGAAGAAACGTCATGAGATGCCCCCCCACATCTATGCTATATCTGAATCTGCTTATAGATGTATGCTTCAAGGTAAGTGGATATTAAAGTACTAAGTTTGTTATTCACACCTTAGATATAAATTAAATTCTGCCCAGACAAGGGGTAGAAACATTGACCTTTACGTATAGGCAGCAGATAAATGCTCTTTTGTTACTTTTGAGGCTTTGTTTTGTGAAATTTATGTTTTTCATTTTAGCTCATTTTTAATTCTCTTGTTTGTATAGCATGTAAACTTTTTTACAGTGCTTTCATGTTTATAATCTTTCATAGGTTAGCCATTATTGACTAAGTTAAATTATATTAAGATCAAGATTTTTCAGGGAAAGTATAGATACCATCTCATGGGGCAGGAAAAGCCATCTGTGATTTTGAGTCCTTGTGGCAGGAAGAAGCAAGACTAATCAATATCTTTTCTCCTGAGTTGGATTACTTAGGAAAGGATGAAGTAGATTTGATAACTAATGACTGTTTAAGGGCAAGCATTGGAAATTAGAATGCAGTGGTGATTTGTGTGCCTTTGTTTCAGACTTGTGATCTTGTGGTTCAGGAAACTCTTCCTTGAAGAAACTGCCTCTGCTAATGCAGAACAGTGATTCTTCTGCTCCTTTGTTTTAGTTGTCTGGGGGCAATGAGAGGTTAGTTGACTTGCCCCTGGGATCACAGAGCAGGTATATGTCAGAGGTAGGACTTGAATTTAGGGCTTAGTGACTTTCAAGGTCAGTTTTTCATATGCCATGCCATGTTCTCTTTGTGTTTTTTTTTTCTTTATTTGAGAAAGTGGAATTTAAATAAATTTAAATAATATAATTCCCCATGGTAACTCTTTTTTTTTTTTTTTTTGGATTACAGGATATATTGCCTCCTACCTTATATTTTTTAATTTAAATTTCCTTTTTTGTTATTATGAGCTTGAATGACATCAACAAACATGAAAGTTCCTCTATTAAAAAAAGAAAACTGCATGTGAAACAATCTTCACTGCATAATAGCTTGGTCTTTTTTTTTTTGGTCTATTTAAAATGTAATGTGAAATACTTTGAATGCTTCCATGTTTGTTCATGTCCTCTTTTGAACCTTTTGCTCACTTCTGTTTCTTTTTTAAAATGATTTCTTGATTTTCTTTTCTTCTTTTTTTAGTATCATTACCTTCCAGTCTCCCTCCAATCCAAAATAAAAGACCTTCTTATAACAACAAATACAGTTTGCCTTATTTTAATTTATGGTGATGTATTCTTCCTTCTCCATAAGTGCCAGACTATAATGGAACTCTAGTCTTTCATGTTTTTAGGGTCTAGAACCAGTAGGCTATGTGAACCCCATATCATTTTTATGTTTCTCACCCTTATGGCACTTTAATTAGTATTTAATAAAATCAGTTGTTAAAAGGGAACAAGCAATTAAGTACCTGCTATATGCTAGGCTGCTCAGGTAGGTGTGCTGACCCTAATTAACTGTGTCACCCTGGGCAAGTCACTTAACTCTGCCTCAGTTCATTATCTGTAAGATGAGCTGGAGAAGGAAATGTCAAACCATTCCACTATCTGCCAAGAAAACCACAAATGAGGTCATGAAGAATGGGATATGAATGAAAGGACTGAAAAATAATAACAAATATGTGCCAGGTACTATGTTAAGCACATCACAAATATTATCTCATTTGGTCCTCACAACAACTTTGGGAGATAGGTGCAATTATTACCTCCATTTTATAGTTGAGGAAACTATAGCAGAGAGAGATTAAGGGACTTGATTGGCTAAATTTGGAAAAGAGTGGCTGTTTGAATTTAAGTAGGGATTCCTGTGGTTTCCCTAATGAATACTTAAAGGAATTGTAAATTGTGGGTCATTATATTTGTTGTTTTCTTTAATTTCTTTTTTATTTGTAAATGCATTCTGTTTTTAAGTACAAATTGATGCATATAGGAAGTAGTACTCTTGAAGCTTCTATTAATAGGCAGAGAAGGCATGGTTGTCTGTGATTATCTTTTTTCAAGGTTCTGTGAATAACTAAAAACCATCCTATTAGCTTACTCTAAAATGTTGTTGTTTTTCAGTCTTCTTCAATGGTGATTTGAATTCTTCACTTCAGGCGGCTGAGTGGTCCCCTGAGATACCTAACTGCCCCATTTTTTTACAATCATGCAATTCAAGTGGTCTTTTAAATTGAAGCAGGCTTCAAAGGAAGAAATCAAAGCTATCAACAATAATTTGAAAAAAATACTCTAAATTACTAGTAACTGGAAAAAGAATCTAAATATAGACAAATATTTATAGCATCTCTTTTTGTGATAGCCAAAAATTGGAAACCAAGGAGCTGTCCTCCTATTGGGAAATGGCTAAATACAGTGTTACATATGAAGGTATTGGAATATCATTGTGCCGTAAGAAATGGTGAAATGGACAATTTCAAAGGAAACTAAGAAGTCCTTTATGAACTGATACAGAACAAAGTGAGCAGAACTAGGAGAATAGTTTATACAGTAACATTTTAGAGAACAACTTTGAAAGACTTTAGAATGCAGTGTTATAGCGCAAGTCCAAAAGAATGAAGATGAAACATGCTACTCACTTCCTGATAGAGAGGTGACAAGCTTAATGAAGAAAGAGACATGTTTTCAGATGCAGCTTCTCTGTCAGGGATTTTTGAGCTTTACCAGTTTCAATTCTTTCTAAACTAAAATGACTGAAGGGGAAAGCAACGAATATTGGAGGAGATATGGAAAAACTTTTAGTGGTTTGTGGAGAGTACTGGGAATCATTACAGTAACTTCCCCTTATTTCTTTGTAGAGGTTGGGGGCTATGGGTGTAGAACATTATGGAAAGTAAAACCTCTGTTGATTAGTTTTGTTGAAATTTTTTATGTGATCTCAATCAAGTCATTCAATTTCCTTAGCCTCATTTTCTTTACCTATAAAGTGAAGAGTTTAGATTAGGTAGCTCTGAGAGTTCCTATTTCTCTAAATCTCCTTCTTTTATGATTGAATTTGCTAGGCTGTTGGAATTCCTTGTTGGTTTGGTTTTTTTTTAAATTAAGCAAGATATCTTTGAAAGAAACTGTTTAGACCTAATTGCTGATTGCTAGCTAGGGAGTAAAAGAGGAAAGTGAAATTCAGGGGCAGCTAGGTGGTATAAAACTGATTTTAGTTTCTAATATGTCAGTGGAGAAATTTGATTTGGTGAAAAATATTAAAAATGATCTGTGATGTCATCAGTTTGGGAATTCCCTACAAGGCTGCTGGCTGTTCATCTTGTTGTGTGAGTGTTGTCCATGTCCTCTTCTAAATTTACTACAGATGAATTTTTTTGTGTGTCTAGAAAGTAACCCATTGGTAGTTTGTATGCAAGTACACAAAATAAGTAAATTAACTTACATAGTTTAATAACTCTTTGGGCATAATTCCAGATTGCTCTCCAAAATAGTTGGGTCAGTGTACAGTTCCACCAGCAGTGAATTAGGTTCCCAGTTTTTCCACATCTCCAATATTCATTGCTTTCCCCTTCAGGCATTTTAGCCAGCCTGATAGGTATAAAATGATATCTCAAGGTTGTTTTAATTTGTATTTCTTTAATCAGTAATGATTTAGGGCATTTTTTCATTTCTATAAATTGGTTTGATTTCTTCATTGGAAAACTGTCTGTTCATATTGTTATTTTAAATTGTCAGTGCCTGAACAATAAGAAGTTAATATCTTTGGGGCAGCTGGGTGGCGCAGTAGATAGAGCTCTGGCCTTGGGGTCAGGAGGACCTGAGTTCAAAACCAGCTGCAGACACTTCACACTTACTAGCTGTGTGACCCTGGGCAAGTCACTTAACCCCAATTGCCTCACCAAAAAGCAAAAAAAAAAAAGAAAAAAAAAAGAAGTTAATACCTTTCCAATTATTTAAACATCTTTATTTCTGTAATGGATATTTTGTAATTTTCAAATAAGTTCTGAGTATGTTTTACTTGTTGGTTATCCTCCCAAGTAGTTTACACATTTCATAGATATATTGAATGGAATTTCCTTTTCTATCTTTTTCTCCTGGCTTATAGTATTGAGCATAAAGGTTGACTTGTGAGTTCATTTTATTTTTTATTTTTGTTTTAACTTATTTTTAAAAATATATTTTTATTTTATTAAATATTTCCTGGTTATATTAATAATTTTAACATTCGTTTAAAAAAATTTTTAAGTTTCAAATTCTCTCCTTCCTACCCTTCCCCTCCCCCTTGAGAAATCAAACAATATGATTATATGTGTGAAGTCATGTAAAACATTTCCATATTAGCTATGTTGCAGAAAAAACAAGAAAAATTAAAAGGTGAAAAAGTATGCTTTAATCTACAGTAAATACTTTTTATAACTTCTTAAATTATATTTTCAGCTAGCTCTTCAGTTAAATCTCTGAGCTTCTTTAAGCTATCATATCATCTGCAAAAAGTGATAATTTTGTTTCTCCTTTGCTTATATTTATCCATTCAATTTCTTCTTTCCTTACTGCTTTCCCAGAACTATATGCATCAATAGTGGTAACAGTGGATATCTTTGGTGGTTTTCTTTCTCTGACTAAACTTTCCTTGGTTTTGCTAATTAGGACCATATTTCTCTCATCAGAGTTTCTTTTCATCTGTCTTTAGTTTTCCTTTTTCCTTTTTAATTTGGTAATTTGGTTTTATTCTCATCAAATAGGTAAGTTTATTTTTATTAATTTTTTCAAAAAAGCTAGTTTTATCACTTCAGTGTCCCCCTCCCCCCATTTTGTTTCTCTTCCTTGATTTTAACAATTTCTTTTTTATGTTTGGGGATTTTTCATCTGTTGTCATTCTAGTATTTTTAGTTGCATTCCTAATTTGTTGAGTTATTTTATTGAGGAAAGTTTTAGAGATTAAAAAAAAAACCCAATCCTTTTCTCTAATGACAAAAACAAAAGTTTTGGTATGTTGTTTCATTGTTAATCATTTACTAGGACAAAAATCAGTGATCATTTCTATAATTCGTTCTTTGACCAATGCATTCTTTAAGATTGTTTGGTCTCTGTTTAAGTTTG